CGTGAACCTAATCTCGCTTAAACAACTGCTAACTAGCGCAGAAGATAAATTAATAACCTGGCAACAACTAAAGATCCCTAGAAACAATTCCAACAAAGAAAAAATATGGCTAAAAGCAAGTTTTTATCTAAATTAATAAAAAAAAATTTTTTAGAATTTATCGTATACTTATTGTATATATGTAATAGATTCAGCAACGATATTACTTTATATCTCAAATAGTTATAAAAAATGCAGTCAAACAATGCAATATATATATTACATAACATGCATCAAAATGTGCTTTTGCTATGAAACCTATAATTATTAAAAAATTTCTTGCCCATGTTCAAGTAAGTTCTATAATTAATTAATTATCATTATACTTTTTTTAATATTAAAGTTATTAAATTTTTTAAAGGTTGATACTATAAATATGATAGCTATACCAGATAGTGAATTTAAATATATTATATATATACGCAATCATTTCACAAGGTTTTCTGCAACAGAACCTGCAAAAACAAAATCTGCAATTAAAATAGCCTGTTTTCTTTTGCAATTTTGTTTAAAATATGGACTACTATCTGTTTTATATCCAGATAATAGTAGAGAATTTGTTAATAATATCATAAAAGAAACTATAAAACTCTGGCTATCTGTAAAATTTATATATGGATAACCAAGATACCCCCAATATCAAGGATTCATTGAGAAAAGTAATGATATTTTATAAACAAAGCTTGGATCATAAACAGATGAAACTAAGCAAAATAATTGGAGTACCAGATTGCTATTTGTAATCTGTAAGTAAATTTTTTTTAATTTTTATGATATCTGCAAATAAATTAAGAGATCTTCTTTAGTATAGATGGGTATATATAAATTATTACAAGATTTTAATATATTAAACTTAACTAATTTGAGCTAATTTAAATTTTAACCTTAATCCTAACTCTAATAAATTATAAAATTACTTAAATTAGTTCAAAATACTTTATTTATATATATTATAATTGTATAATAATTATATATGCCCACCTATACTAAAGATTAACCAAATTAAATATTATATTAATTATATATATTGATACATACGTATATTGCTACAGGAGCTATAAACAATCAAGTATGTAATACAACAAAAACAATGCTATATTAGCTAGTATTTGGTTAGGATCTTTAGGCTAATTTACAACTAATTACAATATTTTATCAACAAAATATCATTAAGAAAGAAAATATTCTATTAGAAAATCAAGCACCAACTGATTAGTCAAATTTAATAACTAATAATAATTGTATTAAATTTTTTTTATTTTATAATTTTTTATTAGAATATACAATATAATTTAATTAATTTTTAAAAAATTCTTTATTTGCAGAAAGTGATACAAATATGATAATAATAAATAATAATAGCGATACTAGTAATGAATACGATCTTGGTTCTAGTATTTCAAATGAAGATAAATGCTTATATCATGAGAAAATAGTTTTATAAACACTGATGTTGATATACCGGTACAACAAAATTTATGAATAGAAAAGAAAAAATAGTGTTTATCAAATTTAGATAATATAAATTTAAATTATTTATATTATCATTATGTATAAATTATACAAAAGAAAATATATCTATTTAAAAATAAATTATTATAAATTTTATAATAATTTATTTTTAGATAGATATATTTTTTTTTAACAACACTCATATTAATATGTATTAATATTTAATTAATTTTAATATACTTTAGTATAAAATAGTAGATCTAACTCAAGAAGGTTCATTATTTGAAAATTCAAGTCAGGCAAGCTACTCTTATATATTAATTGAGAAATTCAACCAGGAAGGTTATTTACCAACTGAAGATTCAAATAAAGAAAGTCAAATATCGATTAAAACCAATTATATACATATTTTGACTATCACAAGCCTATACGTAATATAGCAAAACATAATATTGAAAAAATTATCAAATTATTCATAATATTATGAAAAAGCATTATAAAACTAAATATTGCTTAATTTTTAGTTCAGGAGACTTTATTAAAGTTAGAGTTCCAGATATTGATAAGCTAAAGATGGATAAACATTTTTTGCCTTGTAAAGTTATTCAAAAAAGCCTAATCTTAATTCCTATCAGATTGAATATGAATTCGAAATTTTAGATATGTGGTTTTCAGCTAATGAATTGGAACCCTTAGGTATATTGTAATTGGAAATTGTGGTTAAAATTGATTTAAGGATTCAAATTTAATTTATTTTTTTTATCTACAACAGGTACAAATAAATACTTATCACTTGATATTATTCCACTTGACAAGTTTATCTCTTTATAGAATACAGCTATGTAGCAAAATTTAACACATCTAATATGACAAGTACAAGGTATTGAAGATGATCTATTTATCCAATTTCAAACAAATAATCAAGCAAAAGAAAGAAAATCTAAAAATGATAGTTGCTATTGTAGTAAAACCAACTGCAAAACCAAAAGTTGTTCATGTTGAAAAAATAATACACTTTGTACTAGGCGCTGTGGTTATATATTGAGAGGTGAATGCAATAATCATTAATTATAACCAGTATCAGGTATAGATATATTTGATGCTTTGAGTATTGTATTGTATAGATGTATTTGATACTTTGATGTATAATTTATTTTTTTCGTATATTTAATTACTGGTAATTAATATGTAATTGATTTTTTTTATTTATTTTAATTTTTTTAAAAATTTTATAAAATAAGTATATATATAATATGTGTGTAGTCGATATATCGCATACTGATTATTATTCAATATATATTAAATTGCAATTTTAAATTAACATATGTTATCTTGAAACTAACAGGAATTGCAAAATGATACATAACATATATACATATATTGCATAAGCATTTATTTAATAAATGCATAATTTATCATATTCAAAATTTTTCAAATAATACATTAATTATCTGTATTCATGATAAGCATCTTAAAGTTATCTCTTAAATTGTAATACAGGCAAATTTGTCTGCATTCATTTTTTAAACTCTAATTTTTTAATAAAATCTTAATTATTAATTTTAACAATATATTTTCTAAGTAAAATATATTTTTAAAGATCTACTTTATTAACTTTGTTAAGAAAATTT